TTCTGTCTCTATGTCTCTCTCTGTCTGTCTGGCGAGCACACGCGCCCTACAGTGAAAATCTCTCCAAAAAAAAAAAAAAAGGAGTACTTTATCAGGAAAACTAAAGACACATAGCGAAATAAGAGAACAAAAAGGAATCCAAAAAAATGACCAACTTAATGCTAGGAACAATAATAATGCTAAATGTTATGCTAAATGTTAACCTCTAAGATTTAAACAGAAAGATCGAACCCCAGAATACTGCAAATTCAACAAAAGAAAGATTAATTACATGAGACTAAACTGGTGAAATAGAATTTTATGACTTTTGAGTAAGATATTACTGTCTTTGTTTTCCCAATTTAAGGATTTTGCTTTCTTTTGAGCTGTTGATAGGTTCAGCAATTTGTTAAAATATTTTTCCTTCTTTGTTTCTTTAAATGGAAACACAAACTTTTCTCCCTTTCTGACCCCTCTGGAATTGGCAAATATTTGGGAGTATTCTTATTTTGTGGCAGAATGGTTAATGTCCATAAGTTCAGTAACACCTGTTGCCTCGAATCAGAAATGGGAAAATCTCGTTATGATGGGGCTTTGACTGGGATGTCATATCTGAAGATGAAACCAGGAAACTATGGAACTTAGGTAGATCTCAAGTAAGCCAACAGAAGTTCTTGAAAGGATGACCTGGGACCATAAACAGTTCTGCCTGGCAGAGAAGATCAGAGAAGATATATGAAAGAATTTGTACCATAAAATAACCTGGACTCTCCAGCCCAACATTGTAATTAGTAGAGGTTGCAAAAGAGCAGCCACAACCAGAGGGTTATTTCAAGGAAGACTTTGAAGGAAGAGAAAGGAAGAGAAAGACTGATCTTTGCTAAAAGATGGTATATCACAGAATTTGGTAGACAGGGCTGAATTAAGAAAGTTTATGTGTAAATTGTGTGCTGAGTGTTTGCTTTTCAACAGTTTGAGTAGTCGACTCAAAAATTTCTCAAAAAACTTTTGAGAAAACTTTTACAATCATACTATCTCTGTTGCTAAAGAGTCACAAAAAAATTATAACTAGTATTTCGAACATTATCTTTAAAATTCAGTTATTTGAAATTTTGAAAGTTGCTTACTAACTGTCCAGCACTATGGAATACAAGCAAAAATTTTTTGATATATAAAGTAAATGTTTGTGGGGAAGTGTAAAAATAAATAAATAAATGATAGAGGGGAAAATTAACTGAAAAACAATTTCAACCAAGAATACTATACCTGGCAAGATTATCCTTCATATGGGAAAAAAAGATAAAAAACATTCTCAGATAAACAAAACCTGAAAGAATTTACCAACACCAGACCAACTCTCCAAGAAGTGCTGAAGGGAGTGCTACACCAGGAAAACAAAAGTCAGATACACAGAAATAAGAATACAGAAAAAAAAAACAACCAAGAAAATGACCAGCCTAAAGGCAGGGGCAAGTCTGGTGTTGAATGTTAACTTCCAGAATTTAAACAGAAAGATTGAACCACAGTAACACTGCAAATTCAATAGAAGAGAGATTAATTACGTGAAACTGAACTCGTGAAATAGAATTTTATGACTTTTGACTAAAACATCACTGATTTTCTTCTAGGCTTTTTTTTTTTTCCAGATTTAAGGTTTTTTGTCTTCTTGAACTGTTGATAGATTCGTCTACCTACTGTTTGAACTGAATCCTAACCTTTCTCCTGGTTAAGCAAATTTCTCTCAACATTTTCTGGAAATTAAAAAAGCATTAAAAATACCTACTTAATGACTACAGTAAGCTATATAGCCTCAGCTAGGTGCTACTTTATAGTATGTTCATTCTACTCACTGAGGTTTACGCCTGAAGTCAGACATGCGTTCATAGATATGCATATATCGGCTGTGCTTGCTATTGAAAGTGTTTAGATTAATTAAGATCTTTAGTGAATCAATAAAATGTAGGAGGGACAAAAGGCATGGAAAACAATACCAGAGACAGTGTGGTTGGAAGGTGGGAAACGGCAGAGAGTGAGAGACAGGGAATCAAAGGGGGAAAAAGGAGCAAAATATATAAGAAACAAGAAATGGAAAACCATTTGTTGACAATAACACGTTATGGTAACAGCCTTGATAGAGCCAATATATAGTGTATTCTGGATGGAAAAAATCTCATTTTCTATACTGTAATGATGTACAGTGAGTGAATATAAATAAATAAATTTAAAATTAAAAAAAAAAAAAAGATCTATTAGTAGAAAGTCTGGTCCCGCCTCCTTCCCTGCTGTTGTGCATGAGGCTCATATCCTCTACGGGTCCCTACCCCACAGTAGGAGCAAAATGCAAAGATGCTGCCTGCCTTTACCTGATTCCCATCCCCTCACAATTCAATAATCTTGGTTCATTTTGCAGACGTAATTGAAGTGCCATAACAGTTTACTTAAAAAAAAAAAAAAAAAAATTGTTGGGATAGTGAATGAAGTGCTGGACTCCCACATGGCTGACCATGGATGACCACCAGTGGCTTGAAAAACATGCTGGGAATGTGTGCGTGCATGCCCCTAATCCCAAGAGGAGAATGGAGGACAAGGGACTGTGGCGTGGCCATTCCCCCAGGGGAGCGATTTTTCACTTCCCCCATCCCGCCATCTCTGGCAAGCACATGCACTACAGTAAAAACTAAAAGAGTTGTCTCAACTTCAGCCTCTGAGGCCTGAGCAGTACCCAGCTAGCCCGCACCTGACACATGCAGCTGGAAAATGACAAACGTGTGCTCTGCAGCCGCCGAGCTCACCGCGCTCTGTCCCGGCTGCCGTGGAAAACACACTCACCCTGCACCACATCGTCGCTGCTCTTCCATTTCCCGGGCTTCCCCACACCCGGCTCCCCTTCCTCCCAGGGACCCACCTGGCCCTCCGTTTGCGCACCCTCCGCTCGTGCTCGGCCTCCTCATAGTAGTACTCATTGTGGCTGTTGTCCCGCCTCCGGGCCGCCGCGGCAATCACAGCCCGAGACTGGCCCGTGGAGTTGTTGGTGCTGTTTTCTGTACAGGATGAGGATAGAGGGGATGGTCATGTCAGGGCATGGCCTCTCTTCCCTCTCCAGCTCAGGAGGCAGCAGTCAGACATATCCAGAGGGAGCTGTTCCCATCACCCCCAAGCCTCCCGTTCCCAACCCTCCAGGCCACCTCTGTGGGAGGCCACAGGAAAGCCACAAGGAAGGCCTTGGAAGGGCAGGAGTCCTGCACACACTCCTCCCTGGTGTGGGAGATTCTGCAGCTCAGAGGGCCAGAGGGCTCAGACCAGGGCTCAGGAGCAGACAGAGAAGAAGCCAGATTGTAGGGACACACCATTGCACCAAGGGACATGAGTCGAATCAGCAGCTAGGATCAGCCACCTGAAGTCATGGGAAATGGCAGAACAGAAGGGGCTGGGACAGAGGCCAGAGAAAGGATAGAGCAGGGGAAGGAGGGAGAGGGAGAGAGAGAGGAAGCAACTCGGGGTCCCACTGGGGAAGAGGCTGGGAGGGGCGGGAGCAGGGCCGCTCACCCTCTCCGAGGGAATACACCTTGAAGCCAGACACTTTCTTGGCCAGGACGGACTTGGGCAGGTTGAGGAGGGCAGGGTTGTAGACAGGGAAGTCATGGTAATACTTCTCCAGGATCCACACTGCCACACGCTGGATGCTGTTGGGGGAGACGGCAGGGAGAGGGGGGGAAGAAGGGACAGACAAGGGGTGCGGGGGAGGGACACATCAGGGCAGGCTGGCAGGGGGAGAGGACACAGGACAGGGACAAGCTGCTTCCAAGAAGCCTGGCTCAGGGCCTGAGGTCTAGTTAGCAGGCTCCCAAGCCTTTCCCAGGGCTGGGCCTGCTCCTCTATCCCTGCTGTGCTGAGGCTCTGGGGGGAAAGGGCAGTGGCCCTGGGTCTCTGATCAAATGTCACCTCATTCTCCTCCAGCATTCCCCAGGACTCTGGTGCCACTGGTACTCTGTATGGCCTGGGGGACCTCCCACCAAGGAGTTGGGTGCCGCTGAAGAGCTCTCCTCTTCCTCTGGGGGTGCCTCATCTCAGGGACCACTCACTCAGTGCTCACAAGAACCTGCGCCTCTGGGACCAGCAGTTAGCGTAATGGCTATGTCGCTGGATTCCCACGTGATCAACCGCGGTTCGCGTCCCGGACCCAGTGGCTTAAAACTCACGCCGGGCGCGTGTGCGTGCGTGCCCAAGATCCCGAGAGGAGAATGGAGGAGAAGGGATTGCGGCGTGGCCATCCCCCCTGGGGAGTGATTTCTCGCTTTCTGTCTCTCTGTCTCTGTCTGGTGAGCACACGCACCCTATAGCAAAAAAAAAAAAAAAAAGCCCCTGTCTGCCCCACGCCTCTCTCCCCTTTGGCCCGCCTTCCTCTCAGATTCCTGGTCCTTCCCTGCCTGTCCACTCCCACCAGCTTGGCCAGGACCGTGCTCCGTGCTCCGACCCTCCCGTTAAACAACATGCCGAAAACCTACTCCACACGAAGTACTCAACTACTTCCCACAGCCCTCCCGGCCCACCTGGCCCATCGCCCCCACCCGTGGCAGCCCCAGCGGCCTCCACCACGCCCCCCAGCGCCCAGCCAGCCACCGCCTGCCGCCCCCGGTGGCCTGAAGTGGAGATGGCCCACACCTGAGGTGGCCCACGTTGTAGAAGCGGCTGGCGCCATCCGTGGAGCGCACGACCTTGAGCGTGAACTGCGGCTGCAGCTGGCGCAGCTCCAGCAGGACTACCGCCAGGTAGTGCACGAAGAGCAGCGCGTCCACCAGCGACACGGCGAACTGCACCACGCCCTGGTAGCTGCGCTCGCGGGCGTCCAGGATGCGCACGCCGTAGAAGAGCCAGTAGGAGACCACAAGCAGGAAGACGAGCACCATGAGCAGGGCGCGCAGCACGAAGACGCGAGGCAGCGAGGCCTTGGGCCGGCGGAAGAACAGGGCCCAGCTGCCCAGCATCAGGATAAGCAGCTTGAAGGCCACGGAGATGAAGAGGCCCTCGCAGGCGGTCCCGCAGGGCTCCAGCTCCTCCCGCCACAGCAACGGGGGCAGCAGCAGGAAAGCCAGCGGCGTGAGGAACGAGAGCAGCGCCAGGGTGGGCCCCGCCGCCACACCCAGGTGCCGTGAGCAGTCCAGCGGGACACTGTCCTCCATGTCCTTGGCGATGCGCGTGAGGTCATCGTGGGAGATGCTGTGCTCCGAGGTGCCAGTCACTACCGTCGTCGTTTCGCCCCAGTTGTCATCCTACAGGTGGGGGTGGGGGGGCATTGGATTACGGGGACGTTCAGAAAAGAAGTGAAAGGAGAGAAAGGAGAGAAAGGAGAGAAAGGAGGTGAGGGGAGGCAGAGGACAGGTGGGAGAGGAGGAGGCAGGAAGAAGAAAGGACAATCAACAGACAGGCAGCCATCAGAGTACTGGCGGAGCTCCACTGCGGATCCACCGCGGCTCTGCAGGTATCAAAGCCTAAAACCCACGCAACCCTGACCCTCCAAGCAGAGGGTGGAGACCAATGCAGACAGAGCTGCTCAGTGCCTGGGAGCTGCGCAGTCTGGCCAGGTGAGGCAGGCAGGCTTCCAGGAATGGTGGGGCCATTCTGATGGCATATTTAAAAATAATAAAAAACTCCCAAATGATCCTGGTCCCTGGGGCAGGTGACATGAAATTGCCCAGGGACTTGGGAAATTGCACCAATTATTGGAGGGTGGGATCTGCTTGTCAATTTTTTTGTGTGGAAAAGCTCCCACAGGCCAGTTGGTGGCTCAGAAGTGACACAGCCAACTGGACCTACTGGTCGGCTGAGCCTAGGGGTGCATCATGGCTTGGGAATGTTGTTGAGGGTACCTGCCTTCTGTCTTTCTCTCTCACCTCTATCTCCTGGAAGAAATAAATAAAAATAATAAAATAAAATAAAACAGGGCTCGGGACCAGCAGATGGCGAAATGCTTACGTCACTGATCTCCTATGTAGTCGCCCATGGTTAGAGTCCTGCACCCTGTAGCTCAAAACACGCCATGCATGTATGCATGGCATGCCCAAAATCCCGAGAGGAGAATGAGGGAGAAGGGATTGTGGTGTGGCCATCTCCCCTGAGGGGTGATTTCTCGCTTTCTGTTTCTCTGTCTCTCTCTGTCTCTTCAGCAAACACAACCCAAAAAACTCTTTCTAATAAAAATTTAAAAAAAGAAGAAGAACCCAGCAGCTTTAAACTCATGCCAGGCATGTATGCATGCATGCCCAAAATCCCGAGAGGAGAATGAGGGAGAAGGGATTGTAGTGTGGCCATCTCCCCTGAGGGGTGATTTCTCGCTTTCTGTTTCTCTGTCTCTCTCTGCCTCTCCAGTGAGCACACACACCACATACCAAAAGCCTCTCAAGAGAAAAAAGAATCACTGAACTAAATCTCAAGACATCATCTGTGGACTGGCAGTGTGAATGGCACCTGAGAGCATGTTAGAAATGCAGAGCCTCAGGCCCACCCCTCATTTCCTGAACCCGAATCTGCCCTTCAGCAAGATCCCCACAAATGCTCCAATACTTGCCCTATAGCAAGTACTGCCCTGAGTTCCTTCTAGCATTCACAGCACTCTATGATCTCAGCAGAAGATAGAGGGGCACTCCGGGGGGCAGGAGCGGCAGGAGCTGAGGCACCCAGAGGACCATGAGAACAGGGGAGCCCCAAGTAGCAGAGCAGGACACAGCCAGTAACAGCCAGGGGGGCTGTGCAGGCCACTCTGAACGACCATGCTAAGCGGTAGCACTTCCTCTCCAGCCACGGAGAGCCACTGAGGGTTTCCGGTTAAGAGAGCGACTGGACAAAAGCAGAATGGAGACGAGGACACCAGAAGGGCAAGGAGGGTCACTGATCAGCGCCGGGAGTGGGGTGCAGTGCAGACCTGGCCACACTGGGTCTCTCTTCTGTAGGTGAGCTCTGCTGGGCCATCTGAATGCCCACAGCACAGGGGTTGCTCATTCCTGGGGGCAAAAGGTAGACAAGGGCCAAGTCTCTGAGGGCCCAAACACCCTCTGAGTGTGGCCTCTGCAGGGGCTGGAGGCTATCCCACAGGAAGCTCAAGACCACCACTGGCCTTCAATAGCTGTCCCCTTCACCCTTGGAACAGCCTGGAGGTACCGAGTCATATCCTGACATCCTGAGGACTCAGGCCTCAGGACTGAGACATGTACGTGACAGCTCGGCAGGACCAGTGGTGAGGGGGGCTGAGGAAGCTCTCTCCCGAGGACGGGAGAAGAAGCTGATCGGAAGGTCAAAGGTGGATGTGCTGACCACTTGCAGCTCACGGAGCTGTCTAGTCCTCACTCCTCACTCTGACCCCCAGACACACTGCCTATGCTCTCCCAGGGTCACAGCTGGGAACTCCTCCCCAGTAACAAGAGCACTGATCACGTCTCAGGTTGCTTCAAGAACTCAGGAGGGGGCCGGATGGCAGAGTGGTGGCAACGCAACTGGGCCTGCATGGGAAGGTCTCTGGTTCACGTTCCGGAGCTTCCCTGTGCACATCAGGTGCAGGTGCAGATGATGCAGCTGGGAGTGGACTGCAGTGCACAGACCCCGTGGGGAGTGTCTGTGTATCTATCTGCCCACCTCACCCCCCAGTCTCCCTGTCATGGGGTCAATCAGTCAGTCTCAAGAGGGGAGGTCTCAGAGTTAAGGGATTGGGAAAGAGGGAGAAAAAAATATTTCCCTCAAATATTGACCTGCTCCTAAAACCCAGGAACTCTCAATGACACATAGACATTCCTTCTGAGGAAAAGTATTTGAGTCTCAAGCTCCTAAGATGCTCCCAAGAAGAAGGAACAGGAGGGATGAGACTTGGGCAACCTCAATGTCATCTCAAATCCTGCCTCTGCCTTTTCCAGGCTCATGTTCTGCCCCGTCATCCCGATCACGTGAGCACAGCAGAGCACAGGGCTTAGAACAAAAGCAACTGCTCACTCCAGTTCTGGAGAACTCTCTTCTAGAGTCCCCCACCTCCCCTCAACCTCACTTCTCCCTCACCCACTCTCGATCAACTCCTCACACCTCCTTTCCCTATGCCAGGTGATGTCATTCTACAAGCTGACACCAGAGGGCGCGAGAGAGCCCACACCCCGCGCTCTAGGAAAACCTGATGTTGCCCACTCCCAAGACCCCATCCACCCCTTCCCTCCTACTCCAGACCCCCAGCTGGCCTGACTGCTGGCATCAGCCCCAGGGGAGCAGGCAATTTCCATCACAGTCCCCTTCACTGGAGAGAAGGAAGGAAGAAGCTGCTACTTCTAAAGATACCTCTTTTTCAATTCTCTGAATTTTAGTTCTTTTTTTAAATTTGCTATAGGACACGTGCACTCACCACTCACCAGAGAGGCAGAGAGAAGGAAAGTGAGAAAGTATCCCTGGGGGGGGAATGACCACCACATAGTCCCTTCTCTAGTCCCCTCTTAAGCGCTGGAGCACACATGCACATGTGCCCAGCATGATTTTCAAGGCTCCGTGGATGGGACCCAAACCACCTAGCCCACCATGTGGGATTCAATGCTTTAACCACCAAATCACCTAGAAGACCCCAATTCTAATTTTTTAAAAAATATTTTTTAGTTTTTCTTTTTTTTTTTTTTTTTTTTTAATTTGCTATAGGGCACCTGCGCTTCCCAGAGAGACAAAGATGGAAAGAGGAGAAGTGAGAAAACACCCCCAAAATAGGATGGCCAGGTCGCAATCCTCTCCTCCATTCCCCTCCTGGAATTTTGCCCAACATGTTTTTCAAGCTACAAAGCCCAGGACTTGAACCACATAGTAGGCCATGTGGGATCCAGCCACCTTATCCACCATGCCACCCAATCCCCTGAAACAAGGTCCTAGAGCTTGGGACACCAAGCCAAGGTACATACAAGGGGACTTCAATAAGGTGGTGGGAAACTGGGACCAGCAGTTGGCATAATGGCTATGTCACTGGACTCCCATGTAGTTGACCACAGTTCGAGTTTTGGACACTGTGGCTTAAACTCACACCAGGCGCATGTGTGTGCGTGTCCAAGATCCCGAGAGGAGAAGAGAGGAGAAGGGATTGCGGCGTGGCCATCCCACCTGGGAGGTGATTTCTCGCTTTCTGTCTCTCTGTCTCTCTCTGTCTTTCTGGCAAGCACATGTGCCCTATAGCAAAATCTCTCCACACACACACACACACAAAAAAAGTTGGTGGGAAATGGAATTGAACTCCAAGTTTACTGTGGTACAAAAAAGTTTGAATCCTGCAGTTTTCCATCAAACTTT